GGCCATGTTTTCTCTTAGCTCTTTGAGCATATTTAAGACCATTGTTTTAAACTGTTTGTCTAGTAGGCCTGGTGTCTATAGATTTTTTAAAAAGATTTTTACTTATTTATTTGACAGAGAGACAGCGAGAGAGGGAACACAAACAGGGGGAGTGGGAGAGGGAGAAGCAGGCTTCCCACTAAGCAGGGAGCCCAACATGGGGCTCGATCCCAGGACCCTGGGACCATGACCTGAGCTGAAGGCAGACGCTTAACAATTGAGCCACCCAGGCGCCCCATGTGTCTATAGATTTTTTAAGGGTGGTTTCTGTATTTATTCTGTACCTCTAAGTGGGCCATATTTTTCTGGTTCTTTGTAGGTTTTGTGATTTTTTTTTTTTTTTTTTGGTTGAAAAGTAGACATTGAAATGAACTATTATACTGTGGTAACTCTGGAAATCCAATAGCCCAGTTCCCCATGGGTTTTTTCTCTTTTATTGTTGAAGGCTATATTGTCCTTTCGTTTTGAGACTTTTCCAAATTATTTTTGTAGATTATTCCTTATTGTGTGTGATTACTGAAGTCTCTGTTTCATTAGCTCATGTTCAGCTAATTTTGACAGAATTTCCTTGAATGCCAGGAGCTAAAATAAGTAAACAAACAACCACCAAAAAAACACCTGCACAAAAAACCAAAAAAGAATACCCACGTCTGCCAGTCTTTGCTGATTGGCTCTGTGCTGGGGCATTCCTTCACCCTGTAGCTGGGCTTGCTCTGAGCCTAGAGATCAGCTTAAGGTCCTCTCAGGACTGAGTATGTGTCTTCCCTGAGCATGCTTGTGGCTTTCTGAATTCCCTTATATACACAGCTGGTCTTGAATGTCCTCACTTCCTAGAGTTGAAAATCAATTTATTTTCCGCTCAAATGATACTTTCCAATCTTTTGATCTCTGTAACAGGCCTTTCTTCTTCCTCTAGTCTGAAGTTTTCTTTGCAATAAATTTGACATGGCAGAATTGATCAACATTGATGGAAATGTAAAAATGACACTGTAGATGGAGCTTGCCATGGGAAAATAGGATGCATTATAATTCAGTCTCATTATCATCTCTAGGTGTTATAGTTTTTTTCTGTTTTCTGTCAGTCTTTCAAGTATTACTGCAGACACACAGACCACTCACTCCTTAGTTACTTCATAAACTTATCACCCACCTCCGTTTCTTTTTGCATTCCTAGCTGTGGTTTATGCAGACCTCCCGACCTAAAATATTTCCTTATCTTCTACCTACCAAAATGTTTCCAGCCTGCAAGGCTTCATTCAGACGCCCCCTCCCATTCCACCTTCCCGGATTACATGTTTCCACTTCTCCTTTACCCACATTAGAATTAATTTCTCTCTTGTGTCTCCTCTCAGTGTTGTGTTTATAACTGTTAGAGATTCATTTGTATCCAGTTTGTGTCAAAGGTCAGTCCCTGCATCTGTGTGCCCTGTGTCCCAAATCTTTCTTTGTTTCCAAGGGTTTCACTCTTGGACTTACCTCCTCTTGCTCTTATGTCTTTCCTCCCTCTTGACTGGGTTATTCTCACCAGAATATGAGCTTTACTATCTCCCATTTTTTTTTTTTTTAAGAGAGAGAAAAAGAGAGTGCTCGAGTGGGGAATGGGGAGGGGCAGAGAAAGAGGGAGAGAGAATCTTAAGCAGGCTCCATGCTGAGCATGCTGAGCATGGAGCCTAACATGGGGTTCAATCTCACAAACCTGAGATTGTGACCTATAGTTCCCATCTTAAAGCAAACAAGTACAAAATATATTCTTTTAACCATACATTCCCTTTAAACTATCACCCAACTGTATTGCTCCCCTTTATACCAAAACCTTCCCAAACAGTTGTCCACATTCACGATTGCATTTCTCACCTCCCCTTGTCTCTTATACTTAAGTTGAGCTTAGACCTTATATTGACCTAAACTTGTTCTTTTCAGGGTCATTAATGACCTCCACATATCAGTCCTCATCCTCCTGAACCTTGTGGCAGCATTCTATAATATGTTGGTTAGTTGCTCATGCTATCCTCCTTTACTTGTCTAATGACCCAATTTAACATAAATTCAGAAGAGTATGCAAAACAAAAATGTGCAGCTTAATGATTTATCTTCAAATGATTTATCTTCAAATGTGATTGTCACCTGTAAGATGTGTAGCACTGCCCTGTCCCAGAAGCCCTCTTTGTGCCCCCTCCCAATCCCTGCCTCTCATTCCCTTAGAGCTAATCACTTAACTTTCATGAAAATTGCCTAAGCAGGATCTCTAGCCACTAGTTGATACCTGCCTATTTTTTTAAACATTGTATAAATGGGGCCACACAGTATGTATTTTTTTTGTGTCTGGCTTATTTCATTCAACCTTACATTTGTTAGATTCATACACATTGTTGCATGTGGCAGAAGTTTGTTCGTTTTCACTGGTGGGTCTACTGTATAAATATACTACAATTCACTTATCTATTCTACTATTGATGGATTTTTGTATTGTTTCCTGTTTGGGGCTATTGTGAATATTGCTGCTATGGACATTCTTTAATATGTCTTTGGTGTGCATGACACACATTTATGTTGGGTGTGTACCTTGGAGTGGAATTGTTGATCTTGAGGTATGTGTATGTTCACATTGAATGGTTAAGGAGAGCATTTTGGGTGGATTTTATCAGTTTACACTCCTACAGCACCATAGGAGTGATACCATTGCTCCATATTCCTGCCAACACATTATATTGTCAGTTTTTCTGGTGGGCTTGTAGTGCTATCTCATTGTGATTTTCATTTGCATTTCTCTGATGATTCAATTGTGAGATTGAATATCTTTTCATGTATTTATCGGTGTCCTCCTTTGTGAGGTACATGTTCAAACATCATACTCATTATTTTGAGTTATTTGACATGTTTTTTTTTTTTTAATTCTTTATGTATTCTGGGTATAAACCCTTACAATATGTCTATTGTAAATATATTTTCCCATTCTGGAGCTTGCCTTATAATTGTCCTGATAGTTTTCTTTCTCTCTCTTTCTCTTCTTTCTTCATGACTAAAATTTCTTAATTTTAATGTAATCTCAGTTTTCCCCCTTTATTGTTTAGTGCTTTCTGTATCCTTTATCAAAAATGTTTCCCTGCCCCGGGTCATAAAAATATTCTCTTACATTATCTTCCAGAAACTTTATAGTCTTGCTTTTAACATTTAAATCTACAGTCTACCAGTCTTTATTTTGTATATGATGTGTTGTGTAGGGGGTCATAATTTGTTCTTTTCCTGTATGGTTATTTATCTATATCCCAGTACCATTTGTCAAAAAGACAGTCCTTTGTCTGGTATCTTTGTTATAAATCAGGTGTACATATATGTCTGGGCTCTGTGTTTTATTTCTTTGGTCTTTGTGCTACTATCATCCTCTCTTGATTGTTATAGCTCTATACCTGGTAGACTACATACCACATCTTCCAACATTGTATTTTATCTTCAAGAGTGTCTTATTTCTGGAGGCACCTGGGTGGTGCAGTTGGTTGAACATCTGACTCTTGGTTTCAGCTCAGGTTGTGATCTCAGGGTTGTGAGATTGAGCCCCATGTTGGGCTCTGCACTCAGCCTAGAGTCTGCTTGAGATTTTCTCTCGCTCTCCTTCTGCCTCTCCCACTCATGCTCGCTCTCTCTCTAAAATAAATAAATAAATCTTAAAAAAAAAAGTGTCTTATGTCTGGCCTTTTGTATTTCCAAATACGTTTTAGAATTAATTGTTGGGCACCTGGGTGGCTCAGTGGTTAAGTGACTGCCTTCAGCTCAGGTCATGATCCTGGAGTCCTGGGATTGAGTCCCACATCGGGCTCCCTGCTTGGCAGGGAGTCTGCTTCTCCCTCTGACCCTCTTCACTCTCTCTCTCTCAAATAAGTAAATAAAATCTTTTTTTTTAAAAAAAAGAATTAATTTGTCAAGTTCCAGAAAGCCATTAAGAGGCTTTGATTGAGATTGTCTTTTGATGGAGATTGATTGCTGGAAGTCACTTGGGGGAGAAGATATCGTTATTTATTTATTTTTAA